TACTGGACGGGGTCCTGAAAGTACATGGTCAAAATGAATGACGTCTGCAACGCCAAGGGTTCGTCTACGGAATCGTGCCGGAGTCCGGCGCCCGATCACCGGCTCGTCGGAGGGCCTCCGGCGGTGTGAAGGACGCGGTTCGGGTTCGACCGCAACGCTCCGGCCGCATTGGGCCGCGGCCGTCCTCCGGCCCGGCCAAAATACTGGACGGGGTCCTGGAAGTCATGGTCAAAATGAATGACGTCTGCAACGCCAAGGGTTCGTCTACGGAATCGTGCACGGAGTCCGGCGCCCGATCACCGGCTCGTCGGAGGGCCTCCGGCGGTGTGGAAGGACGCGGTTCGGGTTCGACCGCAACGCTCCGGCCGCATTGGGCCGCGGCCGTCCTCCGGCCCGGCCAAAAGCCGGTGATCGGGCGGCCGGACTCCGGCACGATCCCGTAGACGAACCCTCTGGCGTTGCAGACGTCCATCATTGCCGGTGATCGGGCGGCCGGACTCCGGCACGATCCCGTAGACGAACCCTCTGGCGTTGCAGACGTCCATCATTTGATCGGGCGGCCGGACTCCGGCACGATCCCGTAGACGAACCCTCTGGCGTTGCAGACGTCCATCATTTTGACCATGTACTTCAGGACCCCGTCTTGGGCTCGAGCCATCTTCTTTCGGCGCGACGACTGCTCCCGAGCTCGACACGTCGGCGAGCTCGCTCGCTTCAGCTTTTCCAACAGCAGTCGATCCTTCCACATTCGAGCCTCGAGCTCGGCGACGTCGACGTCGTCGAGATTCTCGTCGGAGAAAGGGTCCATGGTAATTTTGTTTTTTTTTTAGCGGGGAAGCGAGTTGCTGATAATTATGAAGGAAGTCGAGGGAAGTGAGTTGCTAATTATAAAGGAAGCGAGGGCTAGAACGTAAACTACTAACTGAGTTGAAGAATTTTGAGGAGGGGAGAGGGGGCTGCATGTGTGACACGTGGGAGGAGTGGGCCCACGCGAGTCACGTGTCTCGCTTTGGAAACAAGGGGCTGAAGTATGGTTTTGGGGGAATTAATGGGAGCAGCAATGTTAATTTAATTTAAAAACAATTTGGTGAAACGTAGGAGATGATGAGATCGCGTGCGCATCTGAGATAACAGAGGGAGATTCATCATCCTGTTACAAGTTGGGGATGGGGGATCTTCGATCAGATTCGCTGCATGAGAAATGAGAGCGCTTCACAGAGGGCGATTAGTTCTATAACCTATTATTAATTTAGGGTTAATTACACAGTAAACTCATGAAAATTTTGGGGGAGTTGCATGGAATCTCATCAACTTTTTAATTTGAGGAGTTAGCTCATAACCCCAATGAACTATTCTATTTCACTAAAATTCACATGAAAATTTCTCGTTTAATCTCTAAATTTGCACCATCAACTCTAATGTGTCACCGGTAAGCACATAAGGAAAAAATAGTAATAATAAAATAAAATCCTTCTTAGTCTTGAAAATAATCCCCTTTATTAAAAAGAATGAAAAATGGGCATTTTTCAACCGTCACAAACTCAGACAGAATGAAAATAAGCATCAGGCCCTTAATGATTTGATGAACTCAGGACACCAAAGCTTGTTCACATTATGACCAAACATTTGCCAACAATATATTTACGGTGACCTACAACTATACAGAACCGTTCAAAAATCTTGGCGGATATCCACCACATTGCCCCCAAAAACATAGGTATATTATGATCCTTTTGAAATCTAACCATCATCATACAACAATGATATAACTCTCATGAGAGGGGGGAAAAAATGCTCTATCACCACTAGGTATATCATGATCCTTTTGAAATCTCTTGTCAACCACTCCCTTGTTCTTCTGAAGGTGTTGATGGTTTCAGATTAAGGTCAGGAATTTTCTCTTCAGATTTTTGCTTCTCATCCTCTGCTGTCATCTCAATACCATCTCCTTCAACCTTGCTCTCAGTACCATCTCCTTCAATACCAGCCCATTGTTCTTCTGAAGGTGTTGATGGTTTCAGATTAAGGTCAGGAATTTTCTCTTCAGATTTTTGCTTCTCATCCTCTGCTGTCATCTCAATACCATCTCCTTCAACCTTGCTCTCGGTGAGGTTAAGGTCAGGAATTATTTCGGTCTTCTTTCCGCTTTCGTCTAAACTTTCATCCACTGTTTTACCCTTATCATTATCTCCATCTTGAACAGGTTGCTCCAAAACTTCAGCCTTGCTTTCTTCGCCGTGAGGATTTTGGTCCTCATTCTGATCAGGGTTAGCTTTGTTCTCTGTACTCTGATGCACAGCTCTTACATTCTCACTTGCAGGCTTACTAGTTCCAACTCCAGTGCTTCCTTCAGCCTCCTTAGGTTTCAAAGGCTTTTTTGGTAACTCTTTTTCATAAAAATCCAGCATTTGATTGCTGATATCTGCAAGAAAATACATCACACTGGTTTTGGTTCGCTGCAAACTTGATGGACTACAATAAGAATTTGTACCTTCTAGCTCGCTCGCAGTGATAGGGATTTCTCTCCACCAGACTAAATCACCATCAGATGGAAGCTTCACCTTGTTAAATTTTGCAGCAAGAAACAGAGCACATGCTGCTATATGGTGAGGCTTATACTGGAGATGGAGGGATGTGCACAACCTGCCCCATGCTCATGGATAATGTGTTAAGCAACAAATAAATAGAGGAAAATAGACAGGTAGAAATGAACTAAAATAAAAAATAAAAAATAAAAAAAGGAAATTTTGCATACCCATCATTGAGAATGTTCCATCCAAATTGAAGAAGAGCAGGTTTTGCGACGTTGAACGTCTTTGTTGCCGTACGCAGAAACTCATACGGATGTGCGAGATAAAGATCGAAACCAAGTGTTTTAAGAACCATCACTTCTCCAACTAAAATGAGTTTCCTTTGTCGTTCATAATCCTATGGAAAGGGGAAAACAAAAAAAGATTCCGAGTAGAAAACTACAAGTGAAACCAAAAGAAAATACAGGCATCCAGTATAACAGTCTTTGGCATTTTATTGTGGATGCAATTTGTTAATCAAAGAAAATACAGGGTTTACCTTCTGCTTGACTTTACTTAGAGCAGAAGGATCGTCCATATGAATGACTTCATATGTTACAGAGATAACATCCTTAAGCCGGCAAGGGGTGTCTTCGACCTTTCCTGCAAGGAACATGCATGTTGTTGCTATTACCTGCAGGAGGGAAAACATAATAAGCAGAAGTCACCAAAACCATGTCAGTCAGACAAAACTAAAGTCCCATTTTTCTGTTTTCTAGGACTAACAGAACAGATGTACAAAGAGAAAGATTTAACTTCCGAAAAATAAGTACGCGGAACAATTACAAGCAAGATGAGTGAACTTTTTTTAAGGATCAAAGCATGGGAATTTCAAGACTAAGAAGAATCAAAGACCAGAAGGAAACATGAAAACAATAAATAGCAAAATTAGTCACCTCATAACAATTATTTCCTCTGTGTGTTTAAACACATATGCTTGCATGTTTGTGTCTTTCTCTTTGTATGCGTCTGCGTGTGTGACTTCTTAAATGAGAACTCCTCGGGGAGAAATCCATAGCGTGACATCCACGATTTGTGCTGTTCGTCTTGTTCTTAGCTAATGAACAAGAACATAGGTGGTTTGAGGACTTAATATGTTTTACGCAAAAAACCACA